ATACATTACATACATTACATACACTGCCTACCTACCATACATACCACACCTGTCTACAAACACACATCACACTCGCCTGTGCGTTTTCAGCATACAATATGACATGTCCGTTAGCAACTCTTGTTGTGTGGCCACCTCGCGCTGCAGTTCATGTGTTGCCTGGACATGTTCTTCAGATCGGCTTGTTGGCTGATGGGCTTGGATCTGCAACTGACAGTCGAAGGCGAAGTTCGTCTCTGGGCTCCGGGCTGAGATGTCCAGCATGAGGCCCAGCTTGGAGCCAGGGGTGTAGTGCAATCGGACCATGAACCTCTCCTCAACGGGCAGACAGATCGATCCCAATCTTCTTGCAGCTCCTCAGCGACTCCATGCAAGCCAGTCGCCCAATCGCCGCGACCTCCCCGTGCGCTTGAAGTTAGAATTCCCGTGTTTCCAGACATGTGGGGCATACGTTGGCACGTGATGAGATAGCAACAGTCTGGGGCCATAGCCGCCCAACTGTCGAAGCTATAATGGTGGCTAGCATGCATATTTGCAGCGTAGTGCGAGCACATGTTAGATGAACCTTTGTCAGACAGTTGTTAGGGCTGCGGTCCAGGTCGGTTAACGTTCGACACTACATTGAATGCCCACTTGGGAGGTGGAGGGTGCTCGGCTGCAGGGACTTCAAGCACACACACACACACACAGACAATTGCACCACAGACAAACACAGTGGTGCCGTGAAGAGGCACTACTAAGTATTCAAAGAAGCACATGCGAATCTGGTGGCAACATGATAATACCTACACAGGCAACACACAAATTCAAACACCAATGGCAAGCAAATACAAATGGGCTGAAGTCTAACATGAGCACTAACTTATTGGCAAGCTCTATTTAAGACCCTACCGACTCTGAATCTTAGCCCGAACCCTAAACCACTTTAAGATAATTAGGACTCCAAAGGCTCTGCGTCGGCTCTCCGTGCCTTTGCCCGGGCTGCAACTCTCCGGCGTCTCCTGACCCGGCTCCTCCTGCGACGGCTTCGGGTTCCGACTCTCACGACTGGGACATGTCCGGGCGAGTCGTCTGAGCACGTCAGTCCCTGCCGCTTGCTTAATCGCATTGGACAAGCATTAAGAATGCGAAGTTTCATGCACCTGCGACTATAGAGCGCATGCCAAGCGACAAGCGTGTTATTTGCCCCTGTATGCGCTCACAACTCGGCAAGCCAGATGAGGTCTCAAGGTCGCATCGTTGGATTGAATGGCATACAGAGCACGGGAGAACAACATAGGTCAACCAGAAACAAAGGAATGCTTGATGAACCGTTTTGGTTTCGCGGCTGAGACAAAACTGGTTGAAGGAATGGACAGACCTTATTGAGGATTCGAGTTCTTCCAAAGCTCAATACTGTTGAAAAACCATTTGACGACACAGTGTCTTTATACTGTACATACTCGCCAAGACATGTTCAACCAGGAAGAACCAAGATCAAAAAGAACCCACCCGAATTCGTAGATTTACTTAACAAGCAAACAGTTCTTTAAAAATAGCAAGCATGTGTCGCAAACGTAAGTTCACAGATAGGTTACCAAAACCTGAGTGCCATGAAAACCATTTGCGAATTCAATATGAATTACAAACAAAGCAAATCCAAAAAATCCAAACGTCACGTTTATGCTTATAGCTGACGAACTTTGAACATACTATTATTAAAACAGTTGACAATCAACACATGTATAAGTACAATAATTTGGAGAACGTGCAACAAACAGAACAAGGAACCACACAGCTTCTATTTTGTGAACTTCAACCCATTCCCAAACCTACGAGGAAGTTGTAAATCACATACTGACCAGCAAGAACAATGAAAAACCATACGGAAATTAAGCACTGCTATAGTTCGTGTCTTATGGAATGGTCGCGATGATATGGAAATATTCATACCAAATTACGGAACAAAGCATAGCAAACAAGGCTTCTGAGCTGGCATTAGGCTCCTGTATTGACCCCATATCCAGTATTCCTGACTACATTGAAAACAGACAACAACACAACAGTCATGAACAGATAATGTCACAAGTTGGATACAACCACAGATGCTCTTGGGGAAATTCTCTGGATACTCGATGCGCGTATAAACCCACAGAACAATCCATTCAGATCCGATGATTACTTTGTTGGGGGCTCGGCTCCCACCTTCTGACAGGTGCTATTTGCTTGGAGTTTTCTGGATGTGGGGTCTTGGGGGCTCGTCTCGGCAGGCTTTAGTCTAGGGTCAGTTCGCACCTGGACAGGGGAGAGGCCCTGCTTGAGAATCGCTTGAGGCAGCTGAAGATCCTCCCGATCCTCCTGCCAAGGTGCAGCAGAGCAATAAACGCACTAGTCGGCATAAATCAGGCTGTAATTAGCTATACTCACGCCCTGTGAAGGACAACAGGCAAAGGCCGCGGCGGAGATGAGCGTCTGATGCGCGACGACCTCCGGTGGCGGTCGAGTCTCCACCTCAGACGCTCGAGCCTCAGACTCTTCAAACGATTAAATCCCTTTCGGGGCCGCGGCTGCTTCGCAGCATCTGCCACAAAACACGAAATGCTCCATGTCCAAGCACAGTTGCACATTCCGAAGCTCGCCGCCTGCAGAACATCGGCTCAGGGCGGAGGTGCTGCAACCTGCGCTGGCGCCGCTCGTGAAGGCCGCCCCATGGCGCAACAAGTGACCCGGAAATTCTCCGGTCTGCCCGATGGGGTCGTAGGGGATCTAAAAGCAGAGCCGCATGTAGGCTTGGCTGACTCAAAATTCTTGGGGAGCTTGTGGGCGAGGCCTTGGACTCTCGCGCCTCGGACGATGGTGAGGCCTCTCCAGGCTCGAAGGGGGTCGCCATCTGGCCCATAGGGTTAGAGTCTAGAGTTCACGGTTTTCTCTGCAAGCCTTCGCCTCCGAGACCCTTGTGATTTCCCCGTTGCATTCCTCATGTCCTTCGAGCTCGCGGTGCAGGAGCGGGCAAGGGCTTGACGTTGAGTAACATGTTTGCACTAATTAAGAGGATCGGCTAAAAAAGCATGACATTTGAGGCAACACTGCCAGTTGGCGAGAAGGATAATGACGTGTGTCCAAAGGATAGCAAAGAGTTACCACGGTCAGCTTCACCTCCTCTGCGCCCTGGAACACGGCCATCACGATGCTACCGGCTGCCTGGCTCGTCCACTTGGGGTTTCTGGGGTCAGATATTTTCAATGCAGTTTGAAGTCTAAAGTCTAAGATCAGCAGGCTCCTGATGGCTGCCACCCTCCTTTTTTCCCGCGCGGCCCGGCATCAGCAAGAAGTTAAGCACTCGCGTGCCGAAAACGACCCCTTGAGCCCTTGAAGGTCAAGGGGGGGCCACTGCTTGAAATAATGAAGCTTCTGGAGCGTTGGATTCCGAAGCTGCGACGCATCTTAGCGCAGCAGTTTACGGTGTCTGAAACGTGAGAGAAAGAGGCGGCCAAGTCCATTGAAAGGCGCCTCTGCCTCAAGTCTCAACTCACCGGCCTGGGTAGAAGTCTCAGTAAAAAAGCGGACATCATAGCAATTACATAGTAATTTCAGCAAATACACAGTCTCCTAAGAGTTAAGCTAATGAAGCACACCCTCCGGCCTTTTGCAACAGGCCGCCCGCAATTTCCGCCTCCTCTCCCCAAGCTGAAAACCTGAACCCTAAATTTCTAAACCCCTTGACTCTGCACGTCCCATCCCCTAAACCATCCCGAAATGAACCCAACTATATTTTTTTGTCCTGAGTAGACCGCACAACTCTTAATTAGGACAGGGGACTTGGCCGGCGGGTTGAAGCCAAGAGGATCCTGGAATCGTGTTGCCATTGCTTCCAGACGACCTTGCTGCGCGAAAGGTACAAGAACCCACCCAAGTCACCAACTCCACCTTCGCAACCACTAGCCGACACTGTCGCCAAGCTGCCCTGGAGGCCGGGCACGTGCTTGAGGTGCTCAGCGGAGATGCGAGTGACCAGCCCTGGGAGAAATCTCAGGCTCTCGCGGACGTTTCTGCGCTGTAGACTCTTGCATGATTCCCCTGCCTGTGGCATCGCTGGAAGGGCCAGGGAGGCGTTTTGTCAACAAGGCCCCCAAGAAGAGTGGCCAGGCTTGGGGGCAAAGCACGGCAATCTCGGCACTTTCCGAAGCCCAAGCCCAGACAGAGGTCACCCTCTCCTGGCTCTCTGAGACTGCCTCTCCGGCCTTCAAAAGGAGAGCTGCTTCTTCTGTTGCTTGCTTCTCTTCTTTCACCTCGTCGGGCTTGGGCCCCTCATCTCCAAGGATGCAGAGGATCTCCAGGCGGGCGTCAAAGAGGCAAAGCTTCTTGACTTCCTGCCTTCGCAGCAAAGCCCCTCCCACTCCCCACCCTTCAATTTCCCCCTTAAAACCCCCTCTCACCTTTCGTTCTCAGGCAGCTCTGCGAGGAAGGCCGCAAGCGGCTCCGCGGCGCGCTGGCCCAGGGCCCTCGCGAAGATCTCCCGGGCCGCACCTGAAAGAAGACTCTGCGGACCCCAGGAAGCTTTTGTTTTGTTTGCGACTTCTCTGGCCTAGAGGGAGTCTTGTCTCGTCCTAACCGTGCTTTCGCATCGCAGTACAAACTTCCTCGCTGGCTCTGGCTATGGACGAGCCGTACTCAGTACCCGTGGAAAGCCCGTCTTGAACCCTTACGTATCCACTTGAAACAGGCCCCGCTCTTCGCATGCTCTGGTCACGAATCTCCCGTGACCCGGGTCCCCCACTTGCAGCTTCTGGTGGGAGCGACGTGTCCACTTCCTTGCCCGCATCCAAGCAAGAGGAGAGCGTGTAGTTCCCGGCCTGCAGAGATCAGACACAGGGCCCAGCGCCCCCGGTGTAAACACGAAACCCTAGGCGGCGCAGCTCTGCGGTGCAGCGCCGGGCCTTCTCTTCGCGCTCCTGTGCCGTGGCCCCGGCCAGTCGTTCCAGTTGCTCTTTGAGCTCCTCATCTCAAGAAGGGCCATCCCCACACCACAGCACATGCCCCTCTCCTCGGCCCCTCTTCACAAAACAAAAAAGACAGAGCACCATTATACGTCCGCTTGTCGAAAGGCCGAGGCACGGCCTTGGAGCGGAGCGCCGCATGGATCTCCGTCGCTTTGAAGCGCAGCTCTGCCGTGGAAAGCTCGGCCGGGACTTCCTCAAAAAAGGGCTCCCAGAGCAAAGGCCTTATGTATCTTGATTGCAGTATCTAGTAAAGCATACCTGTGGACAGAGGAAATTTGAGAAGGGGTCCTCGGGCAGGGCCACCACGGCCACCACTGAGAAGGTCGGGCCCGTGCATGCACAAAGCAAGAAAGTGCTGAAAGACACCTGCAAAGGCAACACACATAGCTCCAAGACCCCACGTGGCAAAATTGTCTCAAAGCATTGACCCAAGCCACAGAGTGGGTCTGCACGCCCATGGTTTCCTGACCGGTCGTCTCAATGAACTGTTGCATGGCCATCGCCAGGGAGCAAAGACTGCTCCTGAGGCAGCTTTCGTTTGGCGGCTTGCTGACAGCTTTGCCTGAACCCGAACGTGGCTTACAAGCTTGTTGCCCGAGCTGCAAAGGCAGCTCCCTTTCGGCATCGCAGGCGCCTGTGGCAGGATGCGCAGTGGGAAACCTCTGCCCTTCTTCCATCGGATTTCTGAGCTTGAAGCCATTCGCATAGTCGATCAAACAGTCTCCACCAGCCGCCACACAAAGCCAGCGGCCCGTGAATCCCTGATGCGCATATCTAAGCGTCCATGGCAACGGCAGCTCCACGTCGACAGTCGACAGGCCGAGGCCTTAGGATACCACGTGTCCTGCTTGTTCTCCCAGCGGAGCTCGCCTCACAGTGCTTCGCGTGGAGATGCGTGGAGTCTAGGAGCGACACCGGCACCGCATCTGAGAGCATGGCCGCGCACTTTGATTTCGCGCACTGACAAAGTCTGCATGGCATGACACGGTTTTTTGCCGCAAAGCGCAGCTTCTCCGAATCTCGGGAATGCGTGTTGGGAGGTTGCACCCACTCTACTGCGTTGTGTGCCCCTATACTATGGAAATTCCTCGATGCTGTAAGCCGCAGGGCCACGGGCAGCCAGGGGCTCTGTGAAAATAGCGCGGACTCCCTACGGCAGTGCTGTTCGTGATGCCTTGCAGTACATGTGCGGCCAAGTGGCCACCAGGCATATGCTAAGGGAAAGCATAACGTTTCCACGCCCTGGGCCAATGGATCGCTTCGAATTAGCATAAGCAAGGACAGCATCTGAGAAAGCGACACTGGCAGCCGAGGATGCAGAACTTCGCTCGGTCGTCTGCTCCTGCAAAAGCAGATACCTGGCCGTTTGAATGCCCCGCCCGTGGGCATGGAGGAGCTGTTTGACTCCTTGCGGTTAGACGTGACCTGTGACAACCCTGCATAGCTTTTGCTTCAAGAGCTGGCAAGAGACTTGGAGATCATCTGTCAATGCATATTTGGTCTGAGATAGAGACCACCGCCCTTCCGGGGCCATGCCGGCACCGACTTCGATGTGGGTGCATTGGGTGCACGCCGGTGTTCAAGGTCCGGACCGCAAGGCCATGACGATGCTGCGGGGCTTGTACTGTACTTATTCTCCGAACCCACACGACGGTTTTCGAAAAAAAAGAACAACTGGAGACAACCTCCAAAACAGAGATGGAACACAAAACAGAAATGAACCAAAGCTCAGTCGGGAACCACGAGGGTGAACACGACGTTCAGGCCGTGCAGTGCCTCCCGCGGTTCAGGTGGACAAAGCCGTCAAAGCGTGCAGCGGGCTTTCCACGCAGATTAACCTATTCTGCCAGGATACAGTCTTGAGGGCACCGCCGATGTGCGAGAGTGAAGAGTTCGTCAAATTCTTTTCCAGCCTAGAACGGCGAACCGAACCGTGTCTCCTAGATCGTTTCAGGCACCTTTAGCGGCATCTGGGTCCTTTGCCCAGCCAAGATGGCGATGATCAGGACCCTCCGCCAGTGCTCGCCTAACCGTCTGCCTGTCATCTAGTCGACTGGAGCTCATGGCAAATATCCCAACACCTGCCTGGAGACTCTCCGCAGCACAATGCAAAAGGCGTCACGAGTGGCCAACCTGCGCGCTAGCTTACTGCTAAGATCCTCCCAGTAAAATCTGAGACAAAGATGCAAGACCGAGCCTATCACCAAGTTTGCGAAGACGGACCTATCCCGAAGCTCGGCTCTTCGACTTGCTGAAGTTGAAGGACTCTGTTAAGGCGAGGGGCAGCATGTCTCGATGGGCCGAACGCTTCATGGCTGCAGCCTGAAATGCGACGCGTCGCTTACCAAAACCTGACTGGGTTGATCCTGGGCCGCAGGCGGTAAAGACCGCGCAGGCGTACCAGGCCAACGTGACCTCTGACTGCGACACACTGTGACCCTAGACATGAGTGAGCCATAGCCATCCCTTTGGCTGAGAAGATGGCCAGCACCCAGTTTCCCCAAAGCCTCGGAGAGCACAAAAATCACGGCTTGAAAGCTGCGGGGCGGCCCTCTTTTCAGCTTCAGTGGCGCCCGCTCGATGACGCTGCCTGGACACGAGGGTGGTGCAGTCAGTCGGAGTCATAGTGTTGTTGGGATTTCGAAAATGCCTCGAACGATTCCTGAACCGGGGCTCCTTGGGGCCCCAAAGCGGACAGCAGGAACGCATCGCGGACCCAGCCTCCTTTGCCGACAGAACTGCCATACGCAAAAGCAGAACAACCCCAACCCCAAACAGCAAACCCGAAATGCTGAACCCTCACACCCTGGGCCAGCAAAGGCCCAGCGGCCAATAACGGTAACACAGTCAATAAATGGATACTAGTACGTACAATAAACACACAACAATAAACTACTATAAGTTTCTCATAACATGTATATATATATATATACAGAAGAGGAGGCTGTGGGGCCTGCATTTTTGAAACCCACCATGTTGAGTGGTTTTGTATGTTTCGAGTGGTGTTGTGTGGGCTTCTTTGTCAGTTGGTCGCTCGTTCGGTGCATGTCCGTGCATGTTGTTTTCGTTTCCAACTACAGCATCAAGTCTGAGTTGTTACACACCACGGGGTCTGTTTATAAACACCGGGTTTGCGTTTCGGTATACTGTGCTTTCAGCGTTTTGGGTTTGTTGGATTTGTGCATTGTCACGTGCCTCGTTTTCCTCGTTTTCCTATACTTTGTAAATGAAGCTGGATTGTTAACTCTCGCCTGATACGTGCTCGTTGTCTGATTGTTCGTATTCATTACATTATGTAGGAGGGGGGGGGAGTGTTGATGTTGGGAGACCCCTCCCCCTCCCTCCCCCCGCTACCCCCCCTCCCCCCCTCCCGTACTGACACCACTGACTCCAAGCAACAAGTTTACAAACTTCGCCTTGCTGCAAATTTTGCAGACTGACGCTCTGATACGCAGGACTTTCTCCATGTGTCGGCTTGTGTGGTTTAGACCAAGACTTTGTTTAGACCAAGCAAGCGAAAAAAACACTGGTATGTTCGGTGTTTTTGCTTATGGGAAACATAATAATGTTATGTCGTCCGTTGTTTAAAACACCTGGCCTTGTTTAGAAACACATGCATTTTTTTCCACAAACACATGGGTTGCTCATGTGGAAAATGGTGCGTATGCCTGTCTTCCCGTGTCAACGCAAGTGCTGCTGCTACATAGCTCAGAGTTCCCGTCTTTGCCACCATTATAACCATAGTACAGGACCAGAGGGATATCAAGGGATTGTATATCAAACCAAAAGGAATTCTGATACGGACACTTGGAGATGGAGGCCTTCGCCACAATCATAACCATGGTGGAGGACCAGAGGGATATGAAGGGATTGTATGTCAACTGAACCAACAAGAGTTCTGATACGGATAGTTGAGAAGATGGAGGCCATGCAAGATCATGCCATGGCCTAGGCCACAAGGATTTGTGGAACTTTATCATTCCCCGAGCGAGGCTTCAGCTGCAGCGGCCCCATAAAACCAGAAGTCCGCATTCATACTGATCCAGATACTTGGAATTTTGGATTGTAGCCTGTGGGTAATAACCGAAGCTATAGCGCCTATCGCAGCTAGCGGGACATGAACATATGTACACACAAGCAGGATCTGAGATAAGCTAAGACAAGTAGTAAACTTCTTAACCATGGGCAGCTTCTTTTTTCCTTGACTCTTTGACAGTCACACATGCTAATACATTTTTCAGACTCACTCATATTTGCTGACGTGCAGCAACACAGCACTGGTCCAAACACTTGTCAGAATCCTACGCACTTGGCAAGATAATTACGCTAATTCAATATGTACATGTTCTCAAACAACCAAACATTGCCAAAGCAGATGGTGCGTTGAGATCTAGTCTTGGGTGGATTGGCCTGATAGGATGAAGTGTCTTGAAGGGATGAGACATATGGCTTCGTGCGGGACGTGTCGAGTCTATGCGGCCTACGCCAAGACTTGGTTTGATAAAGTGAAGAATACACGGTGTTTACGGTGATTCTTGCCTGCGATAGTTGTCGTGGGAAGCACTTTGAATACGTAGCCGATTCATGCAGCGGTGTCGTACCCGTTGACGTCTGACTATGCACGGGCTAAACCTGACCTTGAATACATTACTCAGGAATAGAAATGAAGGCTACTTTGTGGTGTAATGCTGCGTGTACCTTAGAGGTGTTTGAGGATGTTAAAATGCAAATATGATACATAAAATGGATTTGCAAAAACCCAGGCGCCAACCAACCTATCTTGTGACAAAACGTGGGCCCTCACAACAGTCCCCTCCCTAAACATATCCCTTATCCTTTAAAGAGTGGTTTTCAACTACCCGCTGCACAGCAACCTGCTCGCTCGCTCGCTCTCGCTCTCTCTCTCTTTCTCTCTTTGCTTTGCTTTGCTTCGGGGATGGCGTGTGGGCAGACCCCACACCCCGCGCTCCAGGCGATACCCCGTCCAACATGTTGTTGGTTGGGGTGTCTGTACGCTGTCTGTTGGTGTGAAAACAAGAGTTGAGTGCACGCCACCGTGGGGCAGGAAACACAAACACACAAGCGTTTACATGCCTGAAAGCGGGTGCCCCGTGGCCTCACTCCTTTGGTACCCTACTCTAACCCGACCTTACCTGCCTGACCCTGCCTTCATCCCGAACAGAAGCCTCACCCCTGCAAGCACTGCCTCGACCTTCCACTCACCCCTTCACCTCTACTGCAGCAGGTGCCCCATGCCATGGTTCCAACAACAAAACCAAGAAGGACTCTCTCTCGCACTCTCTCTTTCTTTCACCAGGGCTGTGGGCAGAGGTTGCCCTCTGCCCGCGCGCGTCCGCTCTCTCTCTCTCTCTCTCTCTCTCTCTCTATATATATATATATACATACATACATATAACCTATATGTATATACCTAGATAGATAGATAGATAGATAACTAGATAGATAGATACAGACATAAATACTAATAATATTATTATTATTAGTAGTATTATTAATATAATAAATATATATATATATATATTTATTTATTTATTTATATGCGCATGCACACATGCAGACACCCGGCCATCCATGCATACTCATGATTTCAAACATATACATACATGTACACATACATATACATGTGCATAAGTACATGCACGTGCAAATGCAGATCAATATATACGTATGCACATGCTCATGCAGTGGCGTGTGCACATGTATGTATGTTCAGTACATATGCATGCGGGCATGCATAAATACTCATACATGCACATGCAGACACTTGTACATGTCATATTCGCGTATGCGCGGTGCATGTCTGTATGTACTGTATCACTGCATGTATCTCCCTCCCCCTCTGCCATAAGTATATATGTTGTATGTACCTATGCTGTCTGCATGTATGCATGTACAGTATGTCTGCATTGATGCATGCATGTCTGTTTTCTGTACTCGTCACCAGTCCGCCTCCCAATGTCCAGCCCGCATCTCGCAAGGCCATTGCAGGGGGTTCAAGCTACAAGTGCATCCACTGGGATGTCGGGTTTGTTTCAGGTTTCAGGGTTGCAGTTCCCGTCTCGGAGGGGGGGGGGGGTGACTTTTGCGGTTGAGACACCGCTAAAGGTTTCGTGATCCTTTCTGGTTTATGTCGTGTTGTGTTTGCGCTCTAACACAACCACCAAGGGATGCAAGTGGAGGGTTTTTTGCTGCAGGAAGTTACGCACCGCATGGTCAGAACCTTGGTAATCCGTTGATACGCCCCCTTGTTTCATCCCCCTTGCAGGTTGCAATAGTAGCGGTGTATGTCCCGTTAAATCGAGCGAACTTACCTTGAGCCCGGGCGCCAAAGTGAAATGAACGCACTGGCTTCATCACGCTTCGGAGGTCGATCTAGAAAAGCATCCCAAATCCTCCGGAAGGCCCCGAGCCTACGCTGACCACACTGACCCGCTGAAAACGATCGACTCAGCCCAAAACCCCAACTTGCGATGTCTCTGATGATCTGGAAAATTCCGGACTTGTGGTATAAATATGTTCGGACCCTCACAGAAACCGCTGTTTTGCAGATCAGACCACGGGTGGCTCTTGCCGACGTTGAACGGGGAAGGAGCTAAAGGCCCTCAGAGAGCTTGGCACGCTTCGCCGCCGGCGTCAACAGCGACTCCAGCAAACCTCGTGGGCTTGGGAGGTCGTCCGTTTCGGGCCTGGGGGTTGTTCAGGTAGCATGTCCACGTTTTCACAAGGTAAGCATCAGATTCACTTCTCACTCTCAAGGCAAGAACAAATCGAGAAGTCCTGCTTCGCTCTCTGCCGCATCGAAGGGTTCTTCGAGGCATTTATCTGCGTGCAAGCCACTGACGGCATCCATATCATCAGATTCCTGCGCATGGGATGCGCGGATCACAACTAAGGCACGGTCGATGCTAAAGCTCAAAGAGCACCCACAAGGGATCATGGTTGTGAAGACCCCACAAGCTTCAGGCCTGTCGAGCTTATCAACCAGAAGTATTCAGAAGTTTTGCTCGATGGCACCACTAGTTGAAGCCTCGTTTTCGTCGTCTCCTTACTCGCGCAGAAGTGAACGCATTCAGTGTTTCGGCACTGATGCCATACCGTACCATACCACATCATACCATTACATTACGTTGCAGCACAGTACATGACATTGCATTGCATGACCTTCCATTTCACACTGCCATACGGACTATATACGTACAGACATACAGAAGCAAGCACCGATCATGCAATGGTATGTTTCATATTATGTGCACGTGCGTTTCTTACCGCGCGAAGTGCACAAAGCTCTTCTCCTGCCTCGATCTTGGGTTTGGGCATGCCGCAGCGATTGCAGTTGTCCCGGGTGGCAAAATTGACATTGCCGCAGTGAGGGCACTTCCAATTCCCGTTCTCACCTTCAGCAAGTTTCGGCTTGAGCTCTAGGCTTCTAGCTGCTACTAGCTTCTGAATGGCTTTCAAAGCTAGCAGGGCGAATCGAAGGGGCCTGCCACCGGCGCCTTGCCCTTCTGGCTTTTTCCTCCCTTGCCTGGGCTGGGACCTGTCAGACAGGATAAGTGCTTGCCTTCCCAACTCCGAACGGATTTTTCTTTTTGGGGCAGGGGATGGTCGTTCCTCTCTTCGTGTCTCAGATCTCCTGGCCTTGATCGGGCTTCGCAGCACCACAACGATTGCAGGCCGTCCGATGGCCAAAGTTCACCTCACAGCGGGGAGAGCGCAAACTGCAGCTTTGTAAGATGCCTCGCACTCTCAGGATGGAGCATTGTTGCAAGCAGGGCAGCGCCAATTGCCATCCACTCCGACGACCGGGGGGCCACCCTTCTGGCCCCCCTTGGCGGGCACGGCCTCCCAATCACCCGGATGGTATCCTTTGCCTGGAGGGGCATCCCAATCGCCCGGATGATATCCTTTGCCCGCTGGGGCCTCCCAATCACCCGGATGATATCCTTTGCCTGCTGGCGCACCCCAATCACCCTTCTGGCCCCCCTTGGCTGGCACGGCCTCCCAATCGCCCGGATGATATCCTTTGCCCGCTGGTGCATCCCAATCACCCGGATGGTATCCTTTGCCTGCTGGCACGGCCTCCCAGTCTCCCGGGTGGTAGCCCATGGGTTCCCAATTGTTGGGATGGTGTCCTTTGGACGCCTGCCCCTTCCCTTCAGCATAATCCCAGGACCGCTTCCGGCTCGCCCAGTTCTCCGTCGGAGCCTGCTCCATCCTGGCTGTGCCGCAGCGGTTGCATGTGTCTCGGAAGCCAAAATTGACGTTGCCGCAGTTGATGCACTTCCAATTGCCATCCACCCCTGGGATGGGAGCTCCCTTCCTGGGCTGAGCCCAGTCGCTCTGACCCAGTGCGGGCACCGGGGCAGCGGGCCTTGCTGCTGACTTTGGAGCCGCAGTGGTCCCTAGACCTAGGAACATCTCAGCCTTCGGGAAGCCGCACCTGTTGCAAACATCACGGGAGCCGAAGTTCACGTTGTTACATGCAGGGCATTGCCAGTTGCCGTCCACCCCAACCACGGGGGGACCCTTTTTCCCTGACCCTCCTTTCCCAGCTCCAGCTGGGTATTGAGGGGCGGCACGGTCGGCACGTGGCGCGCCACAGCCTTAGCCACCGAGCACGACTCAGCTCAAGATCCCTCACAGTCGCTACATAGATGCGGAAAAGCCAAGCCACGGTTACATGACTCACGCGACGCAAAGTTCACGTTGTTGCACCTCAGACGCCACGAAGTTGCCATGTCGAAAAGCCGGCTCACGAGAGCGCAAGTCTGAGTCGCCAGCGCCTGGCCTCGGTAGTTCACAAGTCCCCCGCACAACCGCACAACCGCACAAAACCATAGTGGAAACATAGGATAGGAATCAGAACTAGACTGGTAATTACCAGCCGTCAGAGTGTCTGAGCGACACCAAGCAGCAAAGCCAGTTTCCATTGACGCCTGCCACGGGTGCTGGCATGGCGTGAGCTCCCCGCCAGGCTCGATCGATAGCAAGAAACAAAGCCTCCAAATGTTGGCTTCGGTTCTCTGGCATGCGTGCACTATGAGCTTAGTCTTGAGGAAACTTCCCTGCTGTGTCTCCGTCTATCCGGCACCGAACTATCCTCCTCAGTGAGCCTCGGGGTACTGGCGCCATGCAAAAGGAATGCTGACTGGAGTTCCACAGCGGCCCCGCACCGTCTTTACTCTGCAAGGCGGGATCTGGGTCTCCTAGTCTATTCGGCTCCCACTCACGAAAGCGAATGGGCCGGTCTCACGCCGACGTGCTGCGGCTCAAAAGCTTTCTACACCTTCCTGCGTGGCACGCTTCAGAGACAGAACAAAATCAAGGCATGTTGGGCCACGCAGCCATCTGAAGAGGCAGGGGCATTTTGCAAAGCACCGAAGCATAACAAGCTATACAGTGCATAAATGAATTATAGAGTGCCAAAAGCTGTATGCACCTGTTGACTTGTGAGCTGGGGCATGGTAACGAAGCTCGCCAACCCTGGTCGGGGGGTTCCCGGATTCCAGGGCTAGCTCAGTACAGCGACTGTAGGGTCAAGTGGCTTCTGCGCGATGATCTGCCAGCTCGTAGTAAAGAGCCCTAGCTTGTCACCCTCCACGAAGGCCTCTCCATCCTTCGTGAGCCGGTCGAAGAGAGTTTCGAAATGTTTCGGGAGGAGCCCTATCTTGGTCATGGCTCGAAGCAGCATCCCGGCGGCCTCGAAGAAGACCCGGGCCTTCTCGATTAAAGCATACTGGCCTCCCGTCCTGCTCGCCTCCTCACTAGAGAGGATCTGAAATCCTGCCTCCTTTAAGGGCTCAATGAAGTCCGAAACCTTCGGAGTCCACACGGCCCCCAGCAAAGGCTTCACCTTCCTGAGAAGCTCTTGGTGTCCCACATCCGACTCATTGAAGTTTGGGAGCTGCACCCAGTCCAGGAAAGAGATCTTTGCACCGGGCCGCAGGACCCGGAACATCTCCCGGAAGAGCTTCAGAGGCTCCACCGTGTAGGTCAGAACCTGCACCTGGAAAAAGGAAAAAAACCCAAACAAAGCTCTACCCCTTCTTGCTTCTTGCTTCTCCGCCGTGCTTTGGGTTTCATTTTGAAGTGCCCATGACGCCTGGTACAAGGCATCGAAGCTCTCGTCTGCAAAAGGCAAGGGGTCGTTGAAATTCCCATGCACGAAGTTCAGCTGCCTGTCTAGGAGGCCGGTGACTCTGGCATAGTCCTGCAAACTCTGATCCCATGATCAGGAGCAGCTAAATCGCCACAACACCCTACAACACCCTATACCCTTTGTCCTCTGCCACTCGGAGCTGGCTCTGGTCGATGTTCAGGCCAGTGACATGGGCCCCAGAATGCCGGGCCACGTGGTGCGCGATGCGCCCTCGGCCACAGCCCAGGTCTAAGACCCGGGCACCGGGTGCCAGATCCAGGCGCTGAGACATGGACTCCTCCCAAAGCAACTGGTTCTCGAAGACACCGTCCGTCGGATCGAGAACCGGTGGGATGTACATCTTCTCCACCTCCCCCACGGCACAAAGATGGTTGAGCACCTTGTAGTACTTCACCGTGTTCTCGAAGTCATGGCTCCCGGACACACGTTCCTGGTCAAACAGCTCGTAGGAAGCCAGGAAGTCTTTCACGTCTTGGTCTGGCAGCGTGTAGATGGCCATCAGGGCACGGAGTGAGGTGCTGGCCCTGTACCAAAGCACTTGAGGGCTCAGATTCAATCCACGAAACTTTGCGAATGCAACTGCCACCATCACAGGTACCGTCACGGTGGCCGCAAGCAGCCGCATAGTGCCAGGAAGGGACAGCGCTTGACTTCGCCGTCGGTCTGCTTGAGTTTAAAACGCTCCGGAAATTGTGTGTTCAAGAATGCCACCCTAATGCCGATGAACTGCTCGTCAGACTCTGCCGAACATCTAAACCACGTGGCAAGAGCCGTGAATCGCCACAAGTCGACTCTCCGTTTAATTCATGGTCAAGTGTCTCCTAAGCTCGCCGAGCTCGCTGCCTTCGCTGCTCCGTTGGCGCTGCGATTATATAGAGCAGCTGACGCTGCTTGACTGGGGACTGTGGTATTTGAGACGGCCTGCAACTTTGGGTAACTCGAAGCAAACGGGGACATGCAACAAGGCATGCTGCGTTCCCACGCAGAGCCTCTTTTTGAACATGCACGCGGTCTGACGCCAGCGCGCCTGGTAATAAAAGTCTTTGTGTCCATCCAATTGAATGGCGATGGCATCGCGCCAGATGTGGTGAGACTGAGCTGCTAGACCTGGCCACAGATCCCCGAGCAAACCTGTACAAAGCAGACGAACCTCGCAGCCTCCTGCATCCTATGCCCTATGCGATCTCAGGCGCTGCATCCTCTCAGGACATGACACGACTCTTTGGCCAAAGAACACCCAAAGAGCCCCTTCATGTAGCCTCGGGCTTGGCTTTGCCGCCTCGCCCCCGAGGCCGCCTTCTCAAGTGCGATTCTCAGCGAGATCTGCGCACCGCCATGCACCGCACCGCTGTCTGCTAAGAGCTGCCTCCGGCGACGGCGTCGCGGTTCGGCCGGCTCGTCCGCCTCCATGAGGGTGACAGATGGGAGGATGCGATGAGGGAGATGCCTGGGATACCTGGATGGCACTCACTCTGAATCCCGGCGTCGACTGTCGGGCTCAACGCTTAACCTCCCGAGGCCTGAGATTCGCTAGGTTCCAGGATTCTTCCTCTCGCTTCCTCAATATTGTATGTACATCACGATCAAAACTAACTAGGAGCAGCACCACGACCACCACCAGCAGGACTGCCACTACTACTCCTCCTGCTGCTCCTTTTGTCAACACCAGGACGACCACGACCGTGATATCTACTTCAGACCTGCAGCCACCACTCCAACTCCAACTGCAGCTCCTCCTCTGCCTCCTCCTCCTCTGCCTCCTCCTCCTCCTCCTCCTCCTCCTCCTAATGTTTGTTACTACTGTCCCTCCTCCTTTTTCTGCTGCTGATGCATCTGCTGGTGCTGTTGATGGTTTACGGAAGGGGTGATTATGATGAGGGTGATGATGGCGATGACTGCTCACCTTTCGGCGATCTGGAGAATCGCACTTGGCGCCGTTCAGGACCATGAGGAGAGCTATCTTGAAAAAGCAGCCGCTCGAACTCGCCTGGTCATCCGAGGCCTCTTCGAAGGTCACCTTTTGCGGCTCCATCTCAATGTCTGCACGGGCTCGCCTTGCATCTGTGTGTTTGGGTTGCCTCTTTGACGAATACGCAAATGCTTCGGTGAGGGGCGTGGTCTCCGCTTCCGTTGGCTTGCTGCTTTCGACCCAAGCCTCACAAACTGGCAGGCTCACATCTCACGGCTTTTCAGCAATCCATACTGACCCTGAGCCCAGCAATCACATGGAGCCAAGTGATAATTACAATAGTGGGTCTGTTATAAGCCGCCCTTTCTACCCTCGATGTCCCCCTCCCCGCCGGCTCGTTGGAGGGAGTCCGTTTTGTATTGGGGCTTGGCTTCCGCCGCCGCCCTCGGCGCCGCCGACGCCGGGCTGGCACCTGAGATCATTTGGGGCAGAGTTCAGGGATTGGGATCGGCGTTTGTGATGCCGAGTTGAGGAGGGAGTGCTTTCACGCGAGAGGACAGAAAGATGTCTTTGCATGCGGATAGAAGCAACGATCTGACAAGAACAACCAAGAACGCAAAGTTACAAAGGGTATGAGATTACATAGACCACAGGGCACGAAAAGGAGAAGGGTAAGATCTATGACAAGAGACACATAGCGAGACATGAGATAGTAAGGCGGTAGCAGGACCAGGATTGGCAGCAAAAGTCGTGATGTCCAGCCCGAGTTGCGGCATCGGCATCGGTGTCAGCTTCCACCTGGCCACACTTCGGGGAAGCACAGCTTGTCCTTGTCCTTGGGCGTTCCTGGACCTTCCTCTTTTCTTCGCCCAAACAACCCGAAACACCAGAACCCCAAACTAAAAACCTCGACTCAACCGCCCAACGTCTCTGAAACCACGATATTTACCCCCCCCCCCCCCCCACCAAAGCCCCAGAGCCCTGACAAAGCCCGACCAGCGCACCTCAGAGTGCTCCAGAGATATCTCCGGCTGCTGTTCCTTTGCCCCTTCCGTCTCTGAAGGCTCCTAGGAATCGGTGCTGTAGGGTGGTACACCCCTGATTAGGGATATGTATTTAAGGTTTTGTCGTTCTTAATTTGCCTTGGACAAACACTGCAGCATCTCTTGTTCATGCCTTAGCTTTGCAACGCCTCTCACTGGCCATTCCAGGGGAGAAGTGCAACTGTGACTCTGCACGTGGCGTTTAGTTGCGGTGGTGGTCACATAGATATAGATTTAGACATTTGCTGGCTTTCGCTTTCTTTGGACTGGAGAAGCAGCGTTTACTCGGAAGGTACTCCTCATCATGACCATCGTCATCAGACCTACAAGTCGTAACAATAGAAACAGTAACAACAACAATAAACTAGTTGCAGGGGTGGTTTTGTATCCGAAGTTGCAGGGCTTCGATGACGATGATGACCATGATGAAGAAGCAGATGATATTCAGGATAATGATGATGCCGATGCTGACATGAAACTAGCGTGAATTTTGGCCGCCTGTTGCATCTGACCGTCTGACGTCTCCTGTCTTGCACATTGCGAGGGATGGGGGGGGGGGGGGGGGGGCCCTTAAGAACGTGCGTCGGCGTGGTCTATATCCGCATGACAGGCTCGTCATCCTTGTCAAAATAATCCTCATCGTCAGTGTAACCGAAATTCCGCTGTGCACCCGAGGCCAACACGTAAAACTCTGGCCTCTATCCGGTGCCTAATCAAAGTTCACGAAACTTTGCAGCTCCGCGAAGTGTTGCATAATGTTAAGAAGCCAAAACCCAACAGCCTACTCCATGCACAACAAAAAACCTACGCAAACTAATACTCCATAATAAATCTCCGGACAACCCGAAGCAACCAAACCCGCAGCTTCACATTGATTTCATACTTTCAATTTTGTACTGCATTCACGAGTTGCAGACCTGCCTGCCTACCTACCTACCTACCTACCTACCTACCCACCTACGTGCGCACGTACATTCCTACACACATACATGCTACCATGCGCACATGCACATGCCGCATGAGCATAGGCAGATACATACGTACCTTACACCAACACAGACCACTAGCACGACAGCGGTGATGAACAGGCTGATACATACAGCGCAGTCGTGCCTAAGATATTATATGCTCTGGTGCGACACTGCAAGGTATGGTAAATGTGTGCGTGATCGTATACCTGCGAATGGAAGAACATCTGTGGTCTAATTACTGTTTTGCATAAGTACATACCCACCTATGGAATTATCTAGGACTGCAATCTAGACTAGGCGGCAACCTGCGGCTGCGGCATTTCTGGCAACGGTGCCACCACTAAGATCATCCACGCTCCGCCGCGTCACCTTGAGATTCGTGATGGTCAGCGGCGTCTCCTCGGCTTCCTCGAAAAGATCGGCCCACTTCTTCCTCGGGGCTGGAGAACCGGATGCCCTGAAGTCTGCCGGTCCCATTGAAATGCCGAAGCTCCCGTCTGTGATCTTCAGCGGCCCCCCGGTGTAGCCAGGCTCCAACGCGAACCTCAGGAGCTTGTGATTGCGGGTCTTCATACAGAGCTGCAACAATGTGACAGTTCCCGGTGCATTCGTGATTCGGGTTTCCATGCCCGGGGTCCAGTATACTCGAGCCGTTCAAACTCTGCCCTAGATGAGCTTGACGGGCTCTGCATCGCCATGCCTAAGAGGGTGAACTGAAGCTCACAACAGGCCTTTAGGATCCAGGACGGAAGGACCCTAAACCCCGCAGTGGCAGCCGCGTGACGGAGACACGACCAGGGAGCCAAAGGACGCCAAAGATCGAAGCATCGCATCAGCCTGGTGTAAGCTGCAAGCTACTGTCGCACAAGGAACCATCAGAAAAGCAATTCCTCAAGGCTACAAGACCTTGCCCTTACTACACCAACGGCCATAGAGGATGGCATACCAGCAAATTCACGATGCCCTGAGTCTGTGGTTGCGCGGGAACCGCTTCTGCAAGGCTCAAGGCTTTCCGTTTCAGTTGAATTGGAAGCATTCATTTCACTCGCTTCGGTGCTCTGAAGCTGCTTCCCTGCATCAGGTTAATCCCAGAGCACCTTCGGGCTCTATCGACATTTTCTCTGTTCCCGGCCTCGTCGCTGGAAGACCAGCCAGCCACGACCTGAAATCGCGAAATCGGCCGCCTAAACCCAAAAAACTATACTAAGCACCACCCCAAAATGGGGCCCGAATCCTCGGCCTTCCTCCGTTGCGAGAGAAATTCTGAGACTGGGCCAGGGCACGGGGCTGTTCTCGAAGCCCGGCGGTGGATCTTGGCAGAGCCTCCGCCACTCCTCAAAGGGCGCTCCGCTCTCTTCGCAAGTCTTCGAGGTTCTTAGTCTCAGAGAATCGATCGATATCTTGAGAGCTAAACTCCCCAACCGTCTGCACATCCCTAAACTCAAATCCTCGACCTCGAAGCTATCAGGCTCTCAAGAAACAGACGGCCTGTACCTTCTGGGTGATGACTTGCTCCCGGGAGAGGTGGCTCTTTGCCAGGAGCACCTCTACGTCGGTGCCATGCCTAAGCCCGAACTCAGGGCACTTTGAGCCGAAGAAAGTAAGAAAGGGTGGGAGTTGCGACCAGGGGGCCGGTTCACCTTCACAGACTCCCAGCAAAGCACTTTCGCATGGTGAAAGCGCCCACCTTCTCCACAAAGTCCACAATCCGCGCGATGTCTGCCATCGCCGTCGAACAACGAGCCTTTTCCTCCTCCAGTGTGCGCATGCGTTCCAGGCCTCAGAACAGGGAGCCCGAGCTCCACATTGCGTCTGAAGCTTGTGGAACCAGGCTAACGAGGAGACAAAGAGAGAGAGGGAGGGAGAGAGAGGGAGCAAGAAGCATGAAGACTAAGGTGGGCGCATATTGATGCGATCGCTGCTGAATGTCTGCTAGCACGCAAGCGCATGCGCGCACACCAAGCAAATGCAACCATAAATACATGGCGCCGTGTCGCGTGTCGGTACCCCACCCCCCCCCCCCGGCCCCCGTGCTATCCCCCATTCCCCACGTTACACACCCGAAATCCTCGTGCAGGTCGCCACTTTTCAATTTGTCTCAGAAAGTGCCAACAGTCACAGGGATAGGCCCCTCGAACCCGCGATCCTCGTGAGTGTTGTGACTGTTGAAGCTATGTAACTTCGTGGCGTGTCCAAAGTGGCGACGACACTCACCCGGATGGGCCATGGTTTCGGTCTGCTCCGCGCCCAGCTGCTGACCCTCAACCCTAAACCTTTTCATAGCTATACAGCTAAACCCTAAACAACCCCGCACCGCGAAAGGGGTGCTCGCGCAAACCCTTTTAAACCCTAAACCCAACACCCACCACACCACGGGGCCCCTGGTATCCCCCACCTACCCCCTCCCCCATTATGCTTCCCCCGGTGAATGTGGCGCGTGCCATGCTCCTTCCTGTGGACCGCTTTTGTGTGGGTTTTGGTTGTTTAGCCCTCCCCCTGTGGAGTGGTGGTGGTTTTGGGCTATTAAACCCCCTCTCCCTCTTGTGGTGTGGTGTGGCGTGTGGGTTTCAGATGTTGTGTTTAAGCCCCTTCCCCCCGTGGGGGGGTGGGGGGGGGGGATGCATGCGTTGGTCACGCACCTAGCAAGTCCATAGAACAAAGAAGCACTGATGCACAGAGACATGTGCATACCTACAGGAGACCTGTGCACAGATGGCTCTGTAGTTTTCGAAACTTCGACACTTCCGCCGAGCGTCTCGTCTCCTGCAGCTGCTGCACGAGCTCGGTACTCCGGGCCTCCGAGGGGCCGCACTCCAACATCCTGCCTTGCTTTAAGCGGTATCCCGTGATGTACTATATAGGCAGTTCGTATATTTTGTCGAGTACTGTACGATACCATCCTATTACACTGACTCCACCGTACAATCCCTAGGGGGCGTAGAGCTCGGGATAGCGGAACCTGGGTTCAGCAGCCCTCCTGACCAACAAAAGCCGCACAGGGGCGTATATGCAGGAGCATGTCTGAAAACAATAAAGCGTACTACAGCATGGTTGCATGATTTAACCCTATAGTTCTTAAACAGTGGTTCACTAGATGCTGCAGCCCACCTCTGCCGCAACCTCAAGTTCATCGAAGGCCCTTTCGATGTTGGACTGGGCCTGCGGCAGCAGAAATCGTTTCTCTGCTTGGCAACGAAACCATTCCAAACATCTCCGCACGAAGACTGTGATCTTGTGCACAGGAGGGCTGCTACAAAATACCCTTGCGCAGTGGCCTTTGCTTAGGGCTGCATGTCGTACAGCACTCACTACACTCGGAAAGAGCAACGGTTCAGGAAGGCTAAATCACGGTCCTGCATGCACGCAAGCTCCGACGACTCGAAGCCTCAGCCAGTGGGACTGCAGCAGACATCGAAGCGCCTGCGTGCGGGCTGGAGGCTCTGGTTCAAGACCTTGAGCATCGCTTGATCGTCCAGAAGCTGGTTGCACATCATTTCGATGATGTCCTTCACACGCTGCCGGTGCTCCCTCGGATGCGAGGACTGCGAGGCAGTCGAAACTCACCGAAGTTGAATCGCCCCGGCCGAGGTGCTCGAACAATGCAGCAGACGGCAGCTTGTACCTGGTTGCCGAGTTGTCTTGCTCTGAGGCTCTGAGGGCTTCTGGACGCTCTGATGGCCTGTGCTGCTGATGGTCGGTCCGCGCACACTCTGGGCAGATCAACATTTCGCAGTCTTCGCCTGCATCTTCCGAGCCCGGCGCAGTTCTTTCAGAGCATGCTGCGGCCGAGTGGCAGTACAAGTCATACCGGCTGGTGCGGTGGATGGCACAGTACTGTGCTCGGTGCATGTTCCGAACCTGCGAAGCACAGGGGAAGCAGTTTTACATAGCAGGCATTGAGGAGAGTGGGTCTGGAATGCATGACAAGGCAAGTGTACATGTGCAGACGAGTAAGCAAAGTTTCCTGCCTGATCTGGTAGGACCTTGCTCTCGCCCCTGCTTTCCACCAGCTTGACCAGGACATGGTTCGTCGATGCTCTGGCTCGGCGATGCCTGATAGCTGCATGAACGACCTTGCCAAATCTACATCCTGCCTTTAGCTGACGGGCCACTGCGTGGTACAGCTCTCGCAAAGGTTCATGATGCAGTCCTCGCAGTAGAACTCGGCGCCTGTGTGAAGGAGCTCACACCCCTGAAAGTATGGGCGACGAGTACCAAAAGACACTTGTCGCTACAGTGCTACAGTGAAATGACCCGGGGTGCTGATGACTATCAACTGCAATCGACCAGGAATGAAGTCAAGGCACGATAGCCCGTGATGCACTCTTCGCAGAGGAAGTCGCTTTGTGCGACCTTCTGGCTGTCGATGGCATGGAGCAAGTCGAAGTTCGGAAGATACTGATGAAGAGCTTGCCTTGAGATGGAAGGGGGCTTGATGCTCACAGGGCTTAAAGACCGTAACCCCTACTTCGACGAGAGCACCTCCGGACATTCCAATTACGGAGACCCTGCGACCTCCCGTTTTGCAAAGCCAGTGCCATGTGGCATTTTCTGGGTCCGGCGGCCGCACTGAGGACAGTCGAAAGCATCCCCCTTGCTGTTGGCCACCAGTGTTTGCAGGCACGAAGCGCAGACGCTGTGGAAGCAAGGCCTCAGAAGCTCCGGCGAAAGACTCCCCAGGCCAAGGACCGGTGCAAGGCCAGGGGAAGGAAACCTTGATACAAAACAGGCCAGCGGCAAGACCTTCACTTCATGGCGGCCTTCGAAGAGGGCGGTGTCATGCAGGCTCAGCTTGCACATGACGCAGCCGACCTGCCAGGCTTGATCTCGCAGCCTTGTGGAAACTAAGAATGCTCGTCCAGAGTGTTGCTGCTGCTGGCGACAGCTGTGGTGTGCCTACATGCTTCTTGACGAAGGCCCTGTCGGTTCTCAGCCCCTTTGGGACGATGGGATCTCAACAAAAAGACTGCGCAAATGCCGTGCTCTGATGAATCGAAGCATCTTGGGAGGGACGATGGAGGCCCCGGACCTCGTGCGTCGCATCGTCCACATACTCGAAAAACTCCCCTTTGCCAGTTTCCAGCTGCTGAATGAGCGAGTCGACCTCTGGGCAGACCTGCAGTCGCAAGGCCTAGGCATCCACTTCTACACTCAGGTATCTCCAGAGTAATCAGTTATCCTTGCACCACATTTATGGGAATGCATATGTCAGCTTATCTCACAGAAGGCTGGGGAGCTCTCCTCAGCCCTCCCAGGCAATCCCCCGATGCCTTGACGGGGGGGAACGGCGTTTCCTGCGGGCTGATGCTGTGTGTTGCTTGCTGGAGGCTGTGAACTATAATACGAACGGACACAGTCCTTCAAAACAGCTGGCGACCTAGACATTTGCTTGAAACCACCACTGAAACTCATGTGTGTATATGTGTAGGTAGGTAGGTAGGTAGGTAGGTAGGTAGGTAGGTAGGTAGGTAGGTAGGCAGGCAGGCAGGCAGGCAGGCAGGCAGGCAGGCCGGTAGGTAGGTCGGTCGGTCGGTCGGTCGGTCGG